ATCGAGGGGCTTAGCAAAGGCAACTAGTTGAGCACATCATAAGGTGAAGATGGCTGACTATATTGTTTATAACTAGTGGGTTAATTAATGAGATTACCTAATGTTATAAAAGCATGATTTTAATTAACTAATATGCCAAATAAAGTGTCAATTGATCATATTGTTGTATATGAAGAGTTGATGCACGATTGATTGAACTATGAGTAATTGGAGCATGATTACTTGATATACTTGAGATGGTATTTTAGTGATGAACTAATAAAACGATTTATTAATCACTATTTAATTGTATTGACTTTATGGTTAGTAAAGTCAATATAGAATGAAGTGAGAATGAGTCATGGCATGACCGCCATGTTCGTTTAAAGGGGAAAGACAATTTAAAAAAGCATGGACTTACAGCGTGATCACGGATAAGGGTGGAATCCGAATTGGAGACCTAACGAGGCTCCGGCAGCGGTAACACATAAGATAGGACCCCGAATGGGTACTCTGCGGGGACTTGGGTGGCGGTGACAGGTCCTATATGATTGATGTAACCTTTGGGTTAAATTGTATGAATTATTAATGTAATGAATTATCGAAGGACGATACGAATTGTATTATTAATGTAATGAATTATCGCAGGGCAATATGAATTGTATTGTTAAATACAAATGGAGAAATAAATTATCGCGGGGCGATATAAAGGGTTTGTGACAAATACAAATGGGCCTATGGGCCGACTATTTGACATTATATACTTATGTATGTTTTGAAAGGGGGTAACTATGGGTTATTTCCTAGAAATATGATATCACCTTATGCTGAGGGTCTTAAGGATTGAAACATTAATTATATGCAGTATAGTTGTCATTGTACTTTTCAAATGTTTCAAAGTACTGACCTCCCCTTCACGGGGGAGGCCACCTCACAGTTTTCAAGTACAAGCTAGAGCTTGCTTCCTGTACCCGTTGCTTCGGGAGTTCTTGGAGAGAAGACGTGGTTCGTGCTTCCTCCGTTCTATTTTCAAAACAATTACAATAATGCTCATGGATAATATTTTCTAATAAACTATTTGAGGGCTTGTATGCCTAAGTTTGCCAGGTGTGGCTTTGACACTTGTAACATTGTTTCCGCTGCTTTAATGGATATTTTACATTATGTTTGTTTATGGTTGTACTATGTGTGTATGATGTGTTAGATTGCGGTTGACTATTCATACTGTACGACGGGTTGTTGACGTGTCCGGGTAGGTCCGGAGCGTGACACAGTACACTTCAAACCAAGACATGGTCGGAGAGTTTTCTTTTTAGAAAAATTCAAATCAAATCATCTGGTAATAGCTTTATATTAATCAATTAATAATGTCTAAATGAAATATAAAGACATTATAGCAATAACAAAATATTGCAGTCACCTAGGGGCAACTTTTGTTGCAGCACCCCCAGATGCCAACCGTACCAGTCACCAGGTGTTCAACCCTAGTTCCACACCTAATAAAACATAGATGCATTTTGAAGACAATTATATTGAAAATCCCATCCTTAGCAACTAAGCCATTTTAAATGCACTGTACTTTCATAATGCTGCAGTTAGCTTCCCAGTTCCTGTCTTCCTCCCTTACAATTCCTGTCTTCCTCTCTTATGATGAAAAGAAATCATCAACTTTGAGCACTCCAACTGTTTATCATGAATATATCCATTATACTTCTCACAAGTTATGTCCCAGCTGCCAATCAGACTGCTTTGAACTATAAAGATCGCCCCAGCCGCTAATAGAGAGGGCAGGAACCTCAACATCTCATACTCAACAGGGGACATGATAGCAGAAAGCATAAAAAAATCAAACACACAAATATAGAAGATCACAAAATAATGCCCCTAACAAACTGGTGATCATTATTACTTACTAATCAGTATAATTGAGATTTAGCAGCAATGATTCATTAATTAGTGTTGCTTGAGTATTCTTGTGTTGATTCAAAGTATGTATGCATAGAAGATTAGTATATCATTATCTTTATTCCCATAACCAAAGTACAACCAATATAATGGTAGTGACTTTTCATCAGGGTGACATAGTGTCCTTGGACCCACTCCCTACGTGAACTACCACTTAAGCAATGAATACTCAACATCTGGATTCTCTATTGACGTACTTCTCAGCTTCATCTCTAGGGGAAACACTACATTAGTGTACGGTAGTTTATAAAAAGATTTTTGAGACATCTAAGCATATTTCAAAAAATATAAATAGCACATCAAGATATAAAAGAAACCAAATCAAAATCAAGGAGAGAACATGAGCCAAAAGTAGAAAACAGTACTACATTAGTTAAAAGGAGAATCTAAAACACAACTTAAGCTTATTTAGAAAACAATACACTACACTCAATTCAATATCATAACAAAAATTAAAATGTAATAATTGAGATGCAATAGTAATTAGTCGGGGTGTTCGTCGGTTCGGTTTGGTCGGTTTTTGGTTTGGTCGGTTTGGTTTGGTCGGTTTTGTTTTGGAAAAGGTGAAACCGTAAACCGAACCGCACTACTTGAGTTGGTTTCGGTTCGGTTACGGTTAATATTGGTCGGTTCGTGTCGGTTTTGGTCAACTTTAGCATATTTTTGTTGGTTTTTTAACCCCAAAGGTGAAACCGTAAACCGAACCGCCAATTATTAATCGGTTTGAGTCAGTTTTGGTTTGAGTCGGTTTCGATTTTGGTCGGTTCAGTTTCAGTCGGTTTGTCGGTCGGTTTCGGGTTTTCGGTTTTTTTGTTCACCCCTAAGTAATAATACATATAACAATTATACAAATCAATACAACAAAGCAATTTGAGGCTTTAGGATTAAGCAATTTCATAACTCAGATAATAAAAATAATTCAAAACAAGCATCTTCAGGCTTCGGAATTACAAATTTACAAATTGACATATAAATTTGAGATTACCTTTAAAAAATAGTTTAGAAGCTCAAAAGGTTAGAAATCGAGAGAATATTGAATAAGGGACATAAGTATCATTGGATGCGATGGAAGGACATCTGTTTACCAACTAATGAAGGAGGACTTGGTATTAGATCCTTATCAGACATTGAGAAAGCGTTTTCCCTGATATTGGTGGAAATAGAAATGTAAAGACTCTTTATGGGCCAATTTTTGTCATGCCAGATACCCTAGGGGTCTCAGTAAGCCAGTGAGGAGCACTGACTCTGTTATTTGGAAGAGGATTGCTGCTATTAATGGTAAAGGGATGTCACTAACATGCTCTAGTTAGAATGATCAAATTACATGGTTACCTTGTAGCAATGGTATTTTTACTTTTTCATCTGCCTTTGATGTGATTAGATGGCATAAAGGGGAGACCTTTTCCTTCAATCATTCCTGGAATAAGAAGCAAGTCATTCAGAGCAAACTATTTCAATGGAAATTACTACATAGGTTTCTCCCCTTTTCAGATAATTTGGGGCGATTTAACCAGGTTATTTACCCGACTATTTGCCCATTTTATAGAAAAGATTCTGAAAATATGGACCATGTGCTCTTTCAATGCTCTTATACAAAGGATATTTGGAGATATTTTATGGGAGTTTTTGAAATTCCTTTTCCATCTGGTTTGGTTTCTATTAGACAGATCCTAATATCCTGGTGGCTTGAAGGTGGATCTAAAACTATTTTGGATGTGTTCAAACACAATTTACCCGGAATCATATGCTGGCACATTTGGAAGTAATACTAAAAAATGATTTGGGTGATTTAGACAAGCATAAGTGTTATTATTCACCATATACGTCTCTTCTCTCAGGACTGGTCAGCTACTTTGAGGAAAATGAAGACGAATACAGGCTATTCAGTTTTACAGGAGGAAGGCTTAATCCCTAGAAATTTCTGGTTTGATCGACCTAAGATTAAAATTGTGAGATGGAGCTTACCACAGGGTTTGAAGCTGAATGTTGATGCTTCTGTCTCCTCCGAAAGCACTGCGATCTCAAACAGGGCAGCTGATTTTCGCTCTTCACTTCCCTATGCTGGCGAAATCTGTAGCTGAGGCAGAAATGGAAGCTCTCCATACTTCGGTCTCTTGGGCGGTCGAAAAGGGATTCAGAGCTTTTGTGACGAAGATTGATTCACTTATTGTGGCTGATGCTATTCATGGAAACGGTTTGGTTGGTGTCTGGAGATGCCTAGCGCAGGATTTTGGGAGTTGGAAAGATTGAATTCGATATTCAATTCAAACATGTGTTGAGGGAAGCTAATAGATCGGCTCACTTTATGTCCAGGTGCTTCCCTGCTGTTGACTCGATTAAGACTTTCTATCTAGCTTCTGATCTTCCCGGTTTGGTTCGCACATCTTTAACGGTTGATAGATTGGGTCTTTCTTATTTCAGATATTATTTATAATGCTTCTTGTTATTTGTTTTTTCATTAGGTATTTTGGGTTAGGTTTATGTCCCCCAAAATACTCTTATTTTCGTTTCTTTTAACTGTATTTTGTGAAGATATGCCTTCAAGGAGAGGTTTTGGTTTGATACCCCTCTTTTTTGTATTGGTTCATTATTTTTAATAAAATCTGGTAAATGTTATCCGGCATTTACCCCACCGATTTTGGTGGTAGACCGATTGGGTTAAAAAAATTGCACAAAAAAATGATGTTTTATCAAAAAAATAAAGAAAATGATTTTTTTACAAACATTCTTATGGCCTTAATATTAAAAAAAACATGTTCATTATCAAGCAATTAGTTTGTTTGTTTTCATTGTTTACATTGAATCTATGTTTTATTTCTTATACTTCATATTAGACAAGTTACATTTCTAACTTGCCTGTAATTACATCCCTATCAATGTGACTTACATTGTTTTTACATGCGGGTTACATCACCCTACTACTTGAACAATGAAAAAACAAAACAAAAAATGCATGTGTGAATAGTAACACAGGTGTACGTTTTACCTGTGGGAGCACCATGCTCACCATGAGCTGCTCCCATGGTATACCAACGGACTCTGGGTGTAGGCCTACATGGCTCTCATATATTCATACATGGAAGTTAGAATTCAAAAGTGTAGAGATTTCACATGCTAAATTATATTGTTGTATCTTCTCAAGTCCAAAATGAAACAACAAGCTAACAACAAGCTAAGTCCAAAATGCAACAACAAGCTAACAATTAAGTTGTAAGCACTGGCCGGCCAGCGTATTATTCAATTCATGCAGGCAGATGTTAGATGATCATATACTCCGACTTCGTATAGATTAATTAGTAGCGGTGACGATTGCCTCAAGATTTGCAGAACTGTCCTGTGAAATGCTAACAGTTGAGTAGAGGCCCAAGTTAAAGCTGCTTTCCGCCGCTGACTTTGATCCGATCTTCTTGCCTATATCATCCCAACCCGATAAGCTTCCGGTCTTCGTAATTTCTGTGTACACCTGCATGCGCGCACGATATGTTACGTTTCATATGTATTTGGATCGAGATGTAGCGATTCAAAAGATTTTTCAGGATAAACTTTTAAAGAAATACTACACATAAATTTAAAGTGTTTTTCAATTTGGGAGTGGACCGGAGCTTATTAATTAGTACGTGTATCCCCGTAGCTATTCCCTTGTGTAGAGAACTTGGTTCAAATAAAAATTACTCGCTAGGTAAAAAATGAGAAGTAATTGTAGCTAGGGAAAAAATGCTATATAACCTAAAGAAATAGGCTACTTGGAGTTAATAGCCTATATTTTATTTATTAAAATACATAGCACTTTTTTTGTTAACTACCCGTATGTAACTTCCATTACAATGAATTTACTTTTCTACTCAATTTGGAGAAAAAAGCGGACTAAGAGGTGTAGCAGTGTAGTTAACTCATTTTATAGACAAAGTGCATGGGGATGGATTTAAAAAAAAAGGCTACCTGGTTAATTTTTGATAATCCATAATATTAACTTAAACACACATATTTAATTATGTACATACACCCAATTTTCTCTTGTAGCTATTGCAACGAGAAATTAAATAGAAGTATCGGATCAATTTTTTATAGGTAGATTCTATGGTACCCATAAGGTACCATACCTTTGTCCACATGGAGCAATGAGAATCTAGCAGTTGAATAATTTAAATCTAAATTAAAAATGATAAAGTGGTGCGGTCCAATCAAATGAATGGTAGGTACGGTACCCCATTTTTTAGAAGAGTACCGGAGTTGTCACCTTTTTAATAAACACCGTGAAAGTGTAAATAGTAAATACAAATATACTATCCTTTGTTTTTTTAGTTGCAACAATCCCCTTTTCACGAATGCTTGCTAACGCACAACTTTGACCATCATTATATTTAATCCCTTATTAGTAAATAAAAATTAAAAATCAAATTATGAAACTTTGTAATGAGACGAATTCAACAATATTTTTCAAAAAATAATAATTCACATACATCAATAAATAAAATGTAGTCAAAATATAGTACATGAATAGTTTGTAAATTTCAATGTTGCAAATAATACGGAGGGGTATAAAAAGTGAAGATAAATCTACCATCATGTGAATATTGATGGAATAATATTGATGGATAAATCTACACACATGAACATTAACTACTTTTTTCTTGTTTTAATAGTAGAATGATATAACTCGCGTGAAAAGAAATGTAGAAATGCAATTCACGATGATAGGAAATAAAATGCAGGCAAGTCAAAATGTTAATTGTCTAATACAAAGTACTCCGTATAAGAAATAAAATATTGATTTCAATGTAAACAATAAAAAAGGAGTCTAATTGCTCAACTTTTTTACCTAAATAGTAAACATGATTTGTTTTAAATATTAAGGCCATAAAAATGTTTATTTAATCTTTTTTTTTCCAAAAAATCATTTTAAAGAAGGGGTGAGGTTTATTAGTGATGTAACTCGTGTTATGAAAAAAGTAAATCACGTTGATGGAAAACCTAACTTATGTGTTTGCAAAATCTAACTTGTTGAGCCAAGACCAAATGTAACTTGTGCATAAGAAAATGTAACTCGCGCACAAGAAGATGTAACTTCATATACTATCAAATGTAAACAATGAAAACAAGGAGTTTAATTGTTCAATTAATTTACGTAAATAGTGAATATGTTTTGTTTTTTATATTAATGCCACAAAAATGTTTTATAGGAAAATCAGTTTTTTTGCCAAAAAAATCATTTTTTTTCAAAACAAAATGATTTTTTTTAATAGCAAAGGTTTATTTTATGATGTAACTCGTGCTATTGAAAATGTAACTCGCATTAATGGAAAATCTAACTTAGGTGTATGTAAAATGTAACTCGTTTAGCCAAATCCAAATGCAACTTGAGCATAGAAAAATGTGACTCACGCATAAAGAGAGATATGACTCACGTACAACTAGATATAACTTCATATACTATCCAATGTAACTCCTGAAATTGTCTATAACATAACTCACACATGCATGTGGAAATGTAAACCACAAATATGAAGATGTAATATCATATTTTATCAAATGTAATTCGAAGTGAACAAATTTAATCTCTTAAAAACACTAATAATATATAAAAGAGATAAGAAATACTCCCTCTGTCCCTTTTTAGTTTGCCAAACACAAATTTTCAAGTCAAAGTTGTTCAACTTTGACCGATTATATATTTATACACGGTAATATTGATAATAAGAAAATTATATGAAAATGTTCTTTGTTGAAAATATTATCATAAAAGTATAAATTTATTAACTTTTACATAAATATATTACTTAAAATAATGGGTCCAAGTTTAGTATCTTTGACTGGAAAAGTCAAAGTTGGCAAACTAAAACGGAACGGGGGTAGTATATATTATAGGAAAAAGTGTATCAATATGAAAAAATATATTACAAAAAAGTGTATAATAAAAAAAAATATTACAGATATAAATATAGTGTATGAACGTGTAATCTAATATACTTATTTTATTTAGATTAATATTATAAAAAAAAATACAGAAATAAAAAAAATTGTATGAATGTGAAATGTAATATACTTAATTTTATTTAGATTAATATTTTTTGCTATAATTGATAAAGAATAAAAAAAATAGATTGAGTTGTATTTGAAGTTGAAGATAAAGATAAAGTAAAATCGTTATTACATTGTTAGTATTTGATGGGGAAGAAAAAAGAATTGTAAAAAAGGAAAAACACAAATTAAAGAGGAAAGGAAATGCTCAAATACGTACGCGCACTAATGTAATTGACAAACATGGTGTACCGATTCCACGTCAGAATTTGTGAACTCTAGTGTAGGGGTGGGAAAAACCGAACCGAACCCTGAAAACCGACCTGGGCTCGGCCCGAAAAATTTTACCGGGCTGTTTTTTTTTTTTTTAATTTTGGCGGGCCGGGTAAAAAAACCGGACCGGACCCGAAATTTCGGGCCAAAATCCGGTCCCTAAAATTTACAAACCGGCCCGAACCGGACGAAACCCGACCCGAATATTTCATTATAATTTATTATAAAATATTAAGTATATGTAAATAATATATCGGAAAGCCAACCGTCTCAATAGTTTCACCATCTCCATCAGCCGATTGGGAATTAGGGAGAGAACTTAGAAGTCTAAAGGACAAATATGGGATGCCATTTAGAATTCCGAAGAGGTAAATTTATGGATATTTCATGTTTCCAAGGAGTAATCAATCCAACAAAAGCTAAGCTTCCACACTCTAGAGTTCTCCTCGTTGCTTATAGCCTTTGAATTATTAATGTTTCAATACTTTTTTTGTGTTTGAAATTGAAACATCGTTGCTTATAGCCTTTGAATTATTGATTCAACAGTTTTGCTTTGGCTACAAAAAACCCGGCTCGGACTGAATATGTCGTACTTTTTTTCGGTCCTAGTTTTTTATAACCTGAGAAGTTTCGGGTAATTTCCGAGTAGAGCAAAAACCTGACCTAGCCCGGACCGATCCCACCCCTACCTAGTGGGTACGAGTTTTTTCACTACCTTTAATTTACAGGAAGGTCCTAATAACATGTACGAAGTACCATATTATGTAGTTCAGTAGTTCTCACTAGCTAGCATAAAATTAAAAACAGAGGTATAATAAACCCATTTAGATAAATATTACGTATGTTAAATGGCTAATTCGTTTAGAAGGTCAAACTGTCTTCTTTGAGTAAGCTTAGGTAGGCAGCTAGGTACCTTGTTATTGGAACCAGGAGCCCAAGAATCATCCCAAGCAATCACAACATCGGCGTTCTCGCCGGCGTCCCCCTCTTTCGCTTTGACACGGTAAACCACGGCGGCTTCGGAGCCAGAAGGGACAGAGGGGCTTTTGATGTGCAGGAATCCCGCCCACTGCCCGTTCTGGATGATCTTCGGGTAGGACGACCCGCCGTCGGTGTAAAGCTTCCCGTACCAGTCTTTGGAGGTGGAGAAGTAGAGGTTCTCGCCGGTGGCGTTGTAAATGGTGGCTAAGACCGAAACGCCGTCCCCAAAAGACTTTTTCAGGCTCTGCACGTAATCTTTCACCTGCTTCCGCTTGTCGTCGCCGTCGATCTGCGCGTACGCCGCGCTCGCTCTCGCCTCCCTGTCCGCATATTCATTCACCGTTATGGGTTTCCCAAACACGTTCGTGTCGGATATGCTTGTGGTTTTCTTTTCCTGAATTGAATCAGTCGCCATATTAAATTGAATCTGGTAGAAAGAAAACTCGCTGCTGGTTCGTTTACTAAAAACTCTGCATTAAAATGACATCTAGATGTATAAATAAATAAAAACATAGACCGACCATTACTCCACCTCATAATCAACCCTACGAATTGGCAAAAGAATAGGTAAATAAAGTAAAGCAACGGTTATAATGTTTGGAACAATTCTAACTCCTTTCATTGATCTCGTCCATGTGTTTCTACCTGTACATGCATCACGTATGAACACGTAGGGCCATTAACAAGTCGAGCGGAGTCCGAACACCCAGAGCTCGAGTTCGGCTTGATTCTGTAATGTGGTATTTGGGTTCGAGCTCGAATTGCGAAGCTCGAATGCTCGACATATATGCTTGAATTTAAAGTTTTCGGTGATGCTCGTTAATAAGCTCGTGCTCGAAATGTTCGACAAGTATCCGATTCATTAATAATCACACTAATTACATTTAAACTTTATTATATATATAAATTATATATAATTTCAGGGTGTTCAATAGGCTCGAACCGAGCCGAATACCACTATGTTCAAGTTCGGCTCAATTAATTATTGAAATTTAAAACTCAGCTCGGGATTTAAATTTGAAAGTTCATTAAATTCGGCTCGTTAGGTTCGAAACCGAGCTCAACTTGAATAGTTCGATAAAAGCTCCGTTCCTTAACAACCCTATGTACAAGTAAGACCTTATTCATCAACAAAATATACTATGTCCAACTACGTGTTGGTGCAGGAATTTGACAGCTTATTCTACATTGAAGAGGCTTGACCACAATAATTAATGACGCATTTATTAGGCTTAATGCTACTAGCTGTTATAATGGTTTTTATATGTTTATTGCAGCTATTAATGTAATCAAAGCAGGAGTTACACAAATGGGCTGACCGATGTTAATGACGACTTAATGACAGCTTTGGATGTTGTCATAATGGTTGAAACCGTCAATAACGGACAAAAAGGCATTTACTCCTCCTCCTATAAGTACTATCGAGCTCAATTGTAATCAGGGGGCTCCTCATTCGAATTACAATCAAATCACACTCCATTTTTGCTCTCTTAGCATCTTTCTTGTTGTTCTTGTCATTTTCTTTACCGTTCTTGTATGAGACCCAATCAATATATAATTTACATTCTAATTAGTTTTAGCTTGTCAAAATTTTGCTAAAATTAAACACTACGATTGTCTTATTTTCTCTTTTTATTACGACCCACTAAATCTGTCCCATAACAAATGTGGTAAAGTTTGTGTGGTTCTTATTCATTCTTATTTTATTCTTACTTTGTCAATCCAATATCAATCACATACATACACTTTTTTAAATTACTACACAACATCCTCATGTCCCAATGTTAGTGGGATTATTATTATAATAATAAAGAAAAACAAAAATTAAAGTTATTATATTGATAACTAGTAATCAAGCTGAATCGCCCTTGGATGTGGAGATTAAGGGAGTGTTTGCACTCACTTAAAAAAGCACTTATTAGCTTTTGACTTAAAATAAGCTAAAATGAGTGTTTGCAAAGATCAACTTCTACTTAAAAAAAGGGAAAGTTCCCGAAATAGGACTAAATGAGTTGGAAAATTCCAAAATAGGACTGCCATGTTTTTATTCCCAAAATAGGACTAATTACTGCCAAATTTGGAAAATACTGCCATGTTTGAAGTCTGGTACTGCCAAAACATGACAGTAATTAGTCCTATTTTGGAAATAAAAACATGGAAGTCCTATTTTGGAATTTGCAAACTTTTTTAATCCTATTTCGGGTAATATCTCTTAAAAAATCATTTTAAAGCCAAAAGTTAAAAGCTGGGATGGGGTGCTTTAAAGTGCTTCTTGGTTCATTGGTAAATAAATGGAACTTTGAGGATGATTATTAAGTTATATATTTTGAGTAAACCCAGATTACCCTCCCCTCGTCTTTCTTGTTGTCAGACGGTCAGACCTTGTTGCCTCTGGGACCGATTCTGTTCAACGAACCCACCAGCCACCGTCCTGCCCCCACCGGATTCCGGTGGTCACTGGTTTGCAGGTGACGGCGTACAAGAACACGGAGACCATTTGTTACTCCGCCTCTTCAAAAACAAGGTCGATGATGCGGCTCACCCAAAATCCAAGTGGATTATCTGATGGGTTGACTTGGACGCCTCTTTTTTTAGACATGGACTCCATATCCCACTTGACTAGTACAAGTTGGGTTAACGGAATAGAAGAGGAGCTCCTCATGGATTTCAAAAGTGGTATTCCACGTTGGTTGGACTAGAGAGAGAAGAAAAGCTCCCAAATTCATTTTTTGTTTGATTTTTGGTCTTCGATTTTGGCAGAAGAATTTTGTTCGAAGGATGGAAGACAGCTCGTTGGTGGAGATATAGAAAGGGCATTTTTGTCTTTTACAAAATATCTTATCAAAATCACTTTTTTAACAAACCCTCCAATTTTTACATTTTATTTAAAATCACTTCTATTCCCTAACACTACCTACTTTTACAATAAATCATTTTTCCAATAATCACTTAAATAAATCACTTTGGAAAAGTACAAGCAAACGCAAACACTCCTTAAAGCTTTGATCTTTGCTACGCGCTAGTCCATGGATGCTGGTTTCAAGTTTCAACGATTTTCAAATAGAGATGGATTCCCAGGCTGCTCTGAGTTATATCCTTGACGATCGACCTGGAAGATGGTTGGTCAATATTCAGGAAATGATGCTTCATGCGAATAGGAAACAGGTCTCTTTAAGGCACATTATGCATGAGGCAAATTGGGCTGTGGACAATTTGGCCCGTTTCCATCCAGATCACTTGGTTGTTTTTAATCGGGCTTCTGAACTTTCGAACTATGTGAAACGGGCTTTTTATATGGATAAGTTTGTCCTTCCTTCTATAAGAATTATATTTTGGATTTTCGTTTTACTGTTCTCTTTGTTTTTCGTTGAGTTGCTTTGGATTTTCTGTACTATTGGGTCAGGTATATCCCCCAATACTTTTACTTTTAGTTGTCGTTCTTTTGTTAGTTTTGGAGGTATGCCTCCAGAGGGGTTTTGGTCTAGTCCCCCCTTAATTTGTACCCTTTTTATTATTAATAAAATCTGTTAAATCTCCCCCAGCATTTACCCCACTGATTTTGGTGGTTGGCCTTCCGAATACAAAAAATAAAAAAAATATTAATCCACCTGAGTGATGCACACGGATAGAAGAAAAATTTCCCTAAATAATTTTAAGTTTGTGCATTAATTTAAAAGAAACAAAACTCAAAATGTAAATTTGATGCTATGATTGAGAATTGAGATGATGAAACTCTATAATGATATAAACAAATAAACAAAATCTAATGTTAACGTTACCTAACAATCGAGTACCAATATTGAGGAACCAGCTGAATCACACTTGAATTGTGTTTGTGCAACTTTAGGCTAGGGATTAAAAAAATCTTGACCTCGCTTGGAGGAATTTGAAAACTCTTCATCAAAACCATTGAAATCAAGTTACAAGATAAACCCTCATAGTTTACTCTTGAGCCACCTAAACTCTAATCTCTTTAGGTAAAGACTGAAATCTTGAAGTGAAAATGATTGGTGAAATACTACAGTTTAAAAAACAACTCATATAATACGTAAGTCAATTCATCAACACAGAAGCAAGGAAGAACAAGAAGAAGGTCCAATCACGTAACTCAGGTCAAAGTATAACCATAAAGAAAGTATTTTCTTTTTGTATAGACCAGAACGCACAACCAATATGGAGCCGAGAATGACTTTTGCGATTAGGAAGGAAAGGTGTTGGTTATAGTTGTCTTTTAACCTTTAAACCATACAAAAATAAAAATCGTCTCAAAAAGTAACTATGAAGCCACTTTTTCCACTGATATTAACAATCCGCCAAAGCAGTCCATTTAAGGGGTGTTTGACTATTTTTTTACAGATTTTCAGCCTGACCAATCCATTTTTTGCTCTTTCAAACACTGTTGCCTCCATTACCAAACAGACCCATATTGTTCTTATTAGTATATGTTGTTGAACAAACATAGTCGGGTATTTAACAAGGATGACAGCTAACTTTGAAGTCTCCAGAGACATTAATTGAGAGAATGTAAATTAGATTTTAATGATGGACCGATATATAGCGAGTGATGTTTTAGATCAAATATTCATTGGGTATTTAATGTATTTAGTTCAAAAAGTTTTATAACATTCATACTTTTTGTCAAATTCGCCTGGATCTGGCCCGAAAGTGATATCTCCCGATACCAGTCTCGATTCTCACGAGTTCCCACTCCAAGACCGGCTAGCCCGAGACGATAACCTCTTCAGCACCATTCCTAAGAGCATCCACATTAATGATCTTCAACTTTACGGTTTTTCATGGCTTATTATTGTCATGTCACCTCCACATAAGATAATCTCAAATAATCTTCAAACCAATAAATTTCTAATCATTCATGATCTTAACTTACCTTGGATATGAGCATGAGCACGCACGAACTACAAAGCTAGTCATCACCATGATTATGGGTATATGTCTAGAAGTTGGAAATAATCTTAAAATAATCCAGCTATAGAATATGATACCAGATTATTTTATCAAATAATCTCATAAAATAATCTCAACTCGGCATCCATGATCCCAAAAAAATCACCCACATCATAAAAATGATCTTGAAAATAATTCATGAAATAAATTGGATGAGATCTCCAAATTCCGGTCTCTATCCATGTACTAGACCTGCACAAAAGCGGGTTCGGGCCGGGCTCGGGTCGGGCTTTTCATAAGTTTTCTGTCCATCGTGTGTGGGCGGGCCCGGCCCGGCCCGCAAAAACGGGCCTAACCCCATGTCCATACCCGCCCGTAAGAGCGGGCCGGGTAGTCCACCGGGCCGCCGGGCCTGGGAAGACTTTAAATTTTTCAAAATTATATAATTTATTTAATACTTTATAAATAATATTACAACATTTAAAAAATTGCTAATACGCTTATAATGTATATAGGCCTTTCATCACATACACAAAAAATATTTACACAAAAATAATAATGAGAAACTATATCTAAAATTTAAAATTCATGCACAAAGTATTATCGTTAAGTACAAAAATAGATATTATATTGGTTAGAATATTTGTTAAGAACTAAAAACTTAAATTTAAACATAATAAACTATAAATATGTATACAAATAAATTAGTAAATATAAAAATATACATGTGTACATGTAAATAAATACATAAACTAGTATATATAAAAATATATATGTATATATACTAAATGTAGCGGGCCGGGCTTATCGGCCCGAACGGGCCGACAACCTAACCCAAGCCCGCCCATATGTTGTTGCGGGCCGGGCACGGGCCGGGCCGGTGGGTAAATATATATGCCCAAGCCCGCTAATTTGTGCGGGCGGGCTGGGCGGGCCGGCCCGGTTTTGTACAGGTCTACCATGTACTTGGTCCCGCTAGGACTTTATTGAAATAAATTTGATCAAATAAGTGAGAAATACAGTCAAAGTCAACATGTCTCTAGACGGTCCGAATTCAGATAGAAACTTCCGACGACGTATCATCCATTTCTATAGCTCTATTCGATTTTAAGCCCAATATAGTACGCGCTAAGGACTTCTGCTTCTACAGCTCCAATTAAATCTCCAGCTATGTCGAAGACAGACGAACCAGCAATCGGAATTCCCGTTAATACGGCATATCAGGCGCCTGTCCCGCCACCGCAGCCGCAGTACTTCGTTAACGAAAACGCTTACCATGCCGCCGGCATACCTTTGAGCGCCATCGTCGGAGACCCAAAGGGAGTCCCGATTCAGCAGACCATATACAGAGACACTCCGGCACCGTTCAATTGCCTCCACTGTGGAAATACAGGGCTGACTGTCGTCAAGTATGTCTCTAATATCCCCTTCGTCTACTTGAGCTCTTTCAACAGTTTTTACTTACTTTTACAGATTTTTGCTTTTAACTTTTGTTAATAACAGATCACCAGCCATTTCTGTGATATCTTAAGGATTACAATTACAAATATTTCAGATGCATATAGTTTATGATCTACAATCTAATTGATTTCATTATTCAAATGTGGTTTGGCTAAGAATGGTTTTTTTTTCAACAGGGCTGACTATGTGTTTTTATTTCAATCTGTAAGACTGTTTCGGTTCAATACCCCTGTCTAAATATATCTATTCATGTTAGCAAACCCCAACCTCTTTTGGGAATAAGGCTGGAATGTTTTGGGAATTACTGGTTTACGATGCTTAATTCAATCCTACAATGAGTTGCTCTTTCTAATCAGATATTAATTGGATCTTTTATAGGGGCCCCTATGTCAAAAGTATCTATGGAAGAAATCGATCAACTTTAGTTTAACTTGATAAACTATGGGGTGTTTGGAACTGATTCTGCTTCTGCTTCTTTGATAAAAGCAGAAAAAGAATCAGTTTGAAACTGGTCTCCCCCAACTTGTAAAAAAACTGATTCTAGGAGTAAATTAGAGCACCAGAATCACTTCTGCACTTTCACCCAAACACTCCAACTTATGCTTCTGCTCCCTGAAAGAGTAGAAGCAGATTTAAGAATCAGATCCAAAAACCCCTAAGTCTCTAGATCTATGGAAAAGGGTTAAAGAGCTCATACATGCTTCGTAGAACTTTGTGAGGCTTAAAAGAAGCAAAGCCTTTATTTGTACTTCACTGATAATAGCAAATCAGTTCTAATATTAGGACTTCCTGTGTTGCATTTCGAATGCCTTAGTTACAATTCACTGGTCAAATTCCATTCTTAACTTATCCTTTAATATCCTTCTTTATTATAGTCACAAGTTATGACACAACTTGATTGTACACACTTACGGTAGTATTTATATATTCGCTTAGTTTTTTACTCTGAATTGCATATTCCGAAAACTAAATAGGCTTTTTTTCAAGCTTCCCTCGTTGCTCGAGTAACACAAGTAAAAGTGGATGCAGGGATGAATGTATAATATGAAGTATTATGAAGGCTATTGTTCTTGTTTGCCCCCCTAGCCCTCCCACTTAACATGCCAATGTTCATGTTTTGTGTACACCGCAGGTCAAAACCAAGTTTAGCAGCTTGTGTTGCATGTATGATGCCAATGATGCTTGGAGTTTGCTTTCTCTGCCCTTCAATGGATTGTCTTTGGCATAAATACCATTACTGTCCAACTTGCAACGAAAAAGTGAGCAGCTTTTGTTAACTCATGAATCTCTTTTCATGTCATTCATGAACATCATTAGTCGGATCATACTACATCGAGTAAATATAGAAGTACAAGTCAGTCATGTATAAAGAAAATCAATAAATATAAAAGTTCATATTAAAAATATAAACAATTCATGTACGCGTGGCTAACACATAATTTTTATGTGCAGGTTGCTGATTTTGAGAAATCGGATCCTTGTATAGTTGTCGACCCTCCACAGTGGTCGCAAGAAAGTTTTGCCTTACCTGCAGTTTGATTCTTTGTTTATGCTCATATATCCCTGTGTATTTGATTCTCCACACATACAAATATTGTAATATTCTAATATCAAAGTTATCTTTTCTGCTCAAGAAAACTGGATGTACTACTTACTTCCTAACTGTTTTGAGTATGCAAAACTTTATATCATATGGCTATATGTAGAACATATGTGATATGTTGTTGACATATCACACCACAAATTCTGATTATCTCTCTTTTTTTTCCACAAACACTCCCAAAAGACCATGTTAGATGATTTAATAAAAATATAAGAAGTCATATATGATTTCTTATGGTGTCATATGACCTCCCCTCATTTAGGGGTGGAACTGGGTCAGGCCTGGTCCCGGCTGGTCCTGATTCTTAGTATTTAAAGCTCGGTACCGACCCGGTTTGGACCGATACCGGGTAAGCCAAAACAGTACCGGGCCTGGGTCGGGCCCGGGCTTGTACCCGCCAATTAATTTTTTTTAAATTCTAGCCATTTCGCCCGGACCAAGCCCCAAAATTCAAGCCTGTAGCCCGCCTCTGTATATGTTCAGGCCGGGACCAGGCTGTTACCGTACCGGAAAACCAGGCCAGTACCAAGCAGTACCGGTCTCGGGTCGGTCCCGGGTTGGGCTGCCCGGGCCCAGTCCACCCCCTATAAAAATGGATGCTGAGAAGGGAGCCATACAGGCTCATATATGACTATAAAGGGGATTACTCAAAAAATTTCGATTTGAGACTATGAGTAAGTTTGAAACGGGAGCTACTATATAAATTCGTTAAATGTTTGCATATTTATTTACTTATGTAGTATTTATTTATTCTTAGCTGTGACATTTATAAAAGAATTGATCAAAGTGAGTAAATCAGCAAATGTAAAACTTCTATGAAATCAGGACAAGACTCCTAAAAAGATGAGATATTAGATCCTAAACAAGGATTAAAAGTATTTAAAATTACTTTTTTGGGAGTAAATGGGATTTAATTTTGGGAGAGGCAATGATGATCTCATTTTATAATATGTTTTGGTTTTTACTCATACTGGAGAAGGCTTGTTGGTCAAAGCTAACCACAATTCATGCTTGTAGGGAAAAAATATGAGTTATGCCGCACGATATAGATCACTATACCAAATAACCATGTCAAAATTCCTTTCCTCGTTTTCTAAATTCTAATACGCTTATATATAGATACATGTATAGAGTCTTGATACTATTCTCTGCTTATGGTTCTTTAGCTTTGCTGAGAACTAATTTGCTTTAGTCACTTGAGGAAATGTATAATCCCTACCATATGAAAATCTAAACCACGCAAAGTGGGGTGGTGTGATTGATACTACTCTATTCTCAAAATCTTAGCAGTTTTGAGTTCAAATCACTGAGGACGTGAAACACAGGATTTTTCAGTTATTGTTTCTCTAGGCGACTAGGCTCTAGCCTGTAGAGGAAGCGTAGTTATACATTAACAATTGATTAAAAAGCCTTAAATTTGTGCAAGAGGCCAAGAGGGAGTACATAAAGTAGACCACTAAAGTATACTCCGTATATTACAACATATAATAGCAGACTACTAGTGATAAAATTCAGGAGTAGATCAATGAGTTTATGCTTATGATTAGGTAGAATAAAAAACGAATATGTACTCCTACCATATTTTGAAATTTGAAGTGGTCATTGTGGTTTGAAGTACACTTTCTCACATGGTAGCGAAAGGAATACTTCGAGGGGTAAAGAGATAATTCATGTAAAAAGAAAAAGGTGTTGAATGTAAGTATGGGTAAGATTTTGGCTCAGGTTATCTAAAATCCAGTTCTCATATTAGTCTTTGCATCACTTAGGATGTTTTCTTATGGACTCGAATTTGCAGGTCCGATCTAGACTGAACTGGTCTGATAATTGTCTGATCTCTGTGTATTTTATAACTACGGAAGTCTGGTCTGATCTGATCCGGTTTGGTCTGATCTGGTCTGGTCTAGGACTGAAAACAATCCAAAAGAAAACATCCTTATTTCACCTAATTCAAAGGCATCAGCTAATATATATTTCATAACTTTTTATGACTTCACAAAGGAGCATGCCTTCCGAAAGGAGCTCAATGCCTCAATAGCAGGATGAGTACTAAACCTTCTCTAGTAAGGGAAGGGTATTCTCATGATCCCACTCATGATCTCTCACTAAGATGAATCTGTTCAACCCATTCAACGAAACAATTCATCCATCTCAATATAACATGAGTTGTTCTTGGTGTGGTCAAATCAAAAGTGTACACTCGTCTGTGTACATAGATTATTGCTGACTTTTTTCTAAACGAGTTGATTGTGTAACTTGGAGGGTGTACACAAAAAGTGTACATTTTTTGGGCACTTCTAGTTTTTTCATATAACATAGAGGACCCAAATCAGGCAGAAACTCAGAACATCAATTTCCCAACTCTTCAACCCGTGAAATGCAATCTCTTTCTGAGCATGAAGATCCAAATCACCAGAACATAACTCCGCTTCCTCTCCCACATGAGAGAAAGTGGACAAAGGCTCATCCTCCAGAACTTATAATTGGTGATCCATCTTGATGAGTAAGAACAAGACATAATCTGCAAATGAATGTTTGTTGTCATGTTTTCTAAGCCAAAAACAACCTATCATAAAAAAAAGCCAAAACCAACCTTCAAGGGGAATAGAGTATGATGAAACATTTTCTCTTGTTGCTAGAATTAAAGCAATTCGCCTCTTTCAAACATATGTGACACAAAAACTTCAGAGTGTATCAAATGAATGTGAAAACTCTTTTTTGAACAGAGTCTTGAAAGAAGAAGTCTATGTCTTTCAACTCGAAGGATTTGTTGACACATATGGGCCCAATGATGTCTACAAGTTGAAAAAAGTTCTATACGGCCAAAAGCAAGCTCCAAGGGTATGAAGCTTTGTTCGACTTTCTTGTTGAATCTGGTGGCAAAATTAACACCACCTCTTCATAGAGCGACAAAAGAATGACATCATGATGATCGAGATATATGTTGATGACATCATTTTCCCCTCATCCAATCTAAACTTCTACAAAAAAATTAGCAAACTGATGCAGACCAAGTATGAAATAAGCATGATAGGAGAATTAAACTTCTTTCTCGATCTACAAATCAGACAGTTGCCAGACATGATCTTCATTAATCAAGCAAAGTGCATTCATGATATATTGAACATGTTCAAGATGGATAATAAGACAACCATAAGAACACACATGTCTCCCTCAAGCAAGCTTGACTCAGACCCTTTTAGGAAACCAATCGACGTTACAAATTATAGGGAGATCATCGGTTCCTTGTTTTACCTTACCTCAAGAAGACCCGACACTTACCTTTCTGTGCGCTCTCTTTCAAGCAAATCCATAAAAACTTCATCTAACAGTAGTGAAAAGAATCTTGAGATACTTCAAGGGCACATTGAATTTGGGCCTTTGGTACCTCCAAGAACTCAGGGTTTGACCTAATTGGTTATTCTTATTCAGATTTTGCAGGTTGCAAAATGGATAGGAAAAGCACCTCGGGCAGTGCTCAATTTTCGGGAGAAAAGTTAGTCTGTTAGTCCTCCAAGAAACAAATTTGTGTGTCAACCTCTACGGCCGAGACAGAATATGGTGTGGCTGCTAGTTGTTCACAAGTTCAATGGATGATGACGCAATTGAAAGACTACTGTTTGACATTTTCACATATCCCCAGTTAATTACAATGACTCTGAAAGTGCTATAGCGGATCACATGCAATCCTGCCCACCACTCACGAACTAAACACATCGATCTTTCCTGCCATTTATAAAGTATCACGTTGAGAAAGGCACATTTGACATGTGCTTTAATTTGTGTCTATTGAGCTTCAACCCGCAGACATTTTTACCAATGTGTTGGATGAAAAGAGATTCAATTTTGTTGTTGTTGTCTAACTTAGGAATGTACCCTGCTAGCCACTGCCTCCTAGGCACGGTGCCACGCACGGCGTGCCTGAGGGCGTGCCTGGCCGAATTCTCTTGGAGAGCCACTGTCTCCTAGGCACTGTGCCACGCACGGCGTGCCTGAGGGCGTGCCTGGCCGAATTCTCTTGGAGAGCCACTGCCTCCCAGGCACGGTGCCACGCACGGCGTGCCTGAGGGCGTGCCTGGCCGAATTCTCTTGGAGAGCCACTGCCTCCCAGGCACGGTGCCACGCACGGCGTGCCTGAGGGCGTGCCTGGCCGAATTCTCTTAGAGAGCCACTGCCTCCCAGGCACGGTGCCACGCACGGCGTGCCTGAGGGCGTGCCCGGCCGGCAGTGGCTGTTTTCAGCCTGATTTGGCCTAACTCACCCGGTTTGACCCCGGGGTGGCCCGCACTCAATCCTAACGACGTATATGATCAAAGTAAGCCTAGAAATGCCCAGAATAAGTGTATTACCTGCGACGGAGTCCGGGTTTGCCCGCGCATCCGCCTCGGTCATCGCGTAGACCCTTGCTTGGGCCCCGCCTTGATTTACGGACGCGGCATGGCTTGTTGAAGCGCCACCTCTTCTCGTGCCGCCGTTTGACGGTCCCGCACAGTTCCTCCCCGTCGTAGTCCCTTCTCCAGTTCCCGGAGCTCCTCCTCCCCCTAGTTGTGGGCAATTGGCCTTCATGTGGCCCGTGTTCCCACATTGATAACACCTAGGGGGTGGTGCATTGCACTTCCCAAAATGATTTTTCGAGCAATTGGCACACTTTGGAGGCCCCATCCTTAGGGAGGAGGATGCATGCCACCGAGTATCCCTGTTCTTCTTTGCCGGTGGTGCCGGTGTCTTGAACGAACCACCACCCCCACCGTGTTTATCTTTCCGTGCTTGCTCGGGCGGCCCCGAACCATGCCATTTCCTCTTTTTCGCCTCTTCGGCGTCTCTCTCTTTTCTTTCATTCCATTGGGCCTCCCCAAGAAGTCCCTGCTCCACCACCTCGCTAAAGGTCATGTGGCGCGAGTACGTGGCCCGATCACGGATGTCTAAGAGTAAGGCATCCCAAAAGTGCTCCGTCATGCGGTTCTCATCAGCCGCGTACTCTGGCAAGAACCTAGACAAGGTTCTAAAGTCTTGTTCCAATTGTTTCACTGTGCCACCATCTTTCTGCTTGAGGTTAGTGTACTCCCTCCGTTTCACATTCACCTCATACTCGGAGTAGTATTGAGCATAGAACTCTAGCTCAAAATCCGCCCATGATATTTCCCCATGGTACTTCCCTTCCACGCTCTCCCACCAC